TGCCAGGCCTTCTGTGCTTTTTTTTTTTTCCCTCCCCTTTTGTTGGCCCAAACAATGTTTATTTGAGTAAAATATATTGACTACCTCTCTGATTTACCTAAATTACAAAAATCTCTTTTTATTTTGAAAAGTGAAAACACATACCTTTCTTAAAATTAAAATATATGTTACACAATCCTTCATTATAGTTTTAAGATTTTATTTTTATCTATCCAACCGTTAAGTTTGACTTTCAAACTTTTATTTTGACTAAAACATCTTTCTTTGACATAAATGTTATTTAAAAATTTATATATATATATAAAATATTTTTTGATGCAACAAAAATAATTATAATACATGTATTCTCAAAATTTTTAATATGTTATAAAATTTTTAATTTTGATTATATTATAGAATTGTATAATTTTAATCCTTCATTGAAATATTGAAACTTAAGGTTTCTTTTAAATGGTTAGAAAATATTTTGACTATTTATTTTTTCATCGTGTAATATAAATTGTGTGAGTTCAGAAAATTATATAAGTAATTTAAATTTATAATCTAAATTTTTAAAAAATTGCTGTGAACATTTATATCTTATCTGATTTGATCAATTATATATTTATTTAGAGAATTAACCAAATTTTTATTCAACATTTTTTTATGTTTACATTAACTAAATTACTTAATTTTCTAGCCTAATATGATTAAAAACATTAAACAAACAACAATTTGTAAAAATAAAAAAATAAGGTAAAGGAAAAAATCTTAAATTCTTTAAGATAGTTTTAACCAAAATTTAGGAATTTAGTATGACGAAAGGTAAATTAGTAAATCAAAAATATTTCAACAAAAATTTTAATTAAAAAAATATCTTTTTAGAATATTCTTAACAGAGTTAATAGTTTGGATTTAAGTTTATGCTTTTAAAATAGAAAGGAAATCCGTGTAATTAAGACAAAATGTAATGGAGGTTAAAGTATTTTATTCTATTTATTTTCCTTTTCCCTTGCTTGGTTGTAGCTTGGAGGTGTCCAGCTATCCATCAACCAAACATTTAGTATTTGTTTGGATATAAATATGTTTCATGTAAATGTAAATAAAATTTTTCTTATATATCATCTCTAGTTCTTAATATAAGATAGTGTTTGATTTTTAATTTAGTCATAATTATAATACCTCAATCTATTTAGTCTTTCATATTTATGCATTTTTTTCTAGGTAGTTCTTCTAATAACAGTAGTTCTAGCCAACACACTTGATTAGTAAGAATATTTTAAGAAATACAACACCTATTTATTACAAATAACTAACTTAATTTATTTTTTTAATCTTATCAAATTAGTCAAATAGCTATCATAATTATGACCAAAGGTAATACTTGTCTTGTAATTCGTAAATTAGAATTAAAAAGCTGATTATAAATAATTTCAAACACTCCCCGTTGGCTTTTATTACCAGTAACTTTGTTGTTAAGTGTTAGAAGATAATATGATGTATTTTAATTTGACAACAAAAAAAGGCGAAGAGCAATGAGAAAACAGTGCCCTGGGACCTTTGATCCCATGCTCATCACCTGAAACTCCCAAATCGATACTGATGTATTGTGTGAAAATAGAATAAAAATAATATCATTTTATCATTTATTGAAGTGACTGATGCCTGGCTTTTTTTTTATAGCATTATTTGCTCAAATATTATCCTTTTCACATTAAACAGGCTTTGAACCCTTAAAGTTTTTTTATTCGCACCTGATAAAGATAGAAAAAAAGGTATACCATTTAAAAAAAAAGAAAAAAAGAAAAAAACGGTATACCAAAAACAAAAGAGAACGCTATAAAAATGAGCTGGGCCTGATAGAGTGGTCCATTCAACCTGGTAAAAGAGGGAATCTGGCTCGGGAAAAGTTGCCCTAGTAGGAGGGGCCCAGTTTCGGCGGCTAGCCCCATGTTAGACCGCTTGGCCCTTTTTTTTTTTTTTTATTACTTCTTCTGAACTTCACTTACCCTACGCTAGCTAGATGTTGTGAACGCCGAAAGTTGTTTTAAAACCATTAAATCACGTCCCCTGACAAATTGAAAGATACATAGGACATATGAATGACCTCCTAGTATTATCGCAGAAATTGAAAATAAAGACCACAAAGGAAGAATAATTAAGTAGGGCTAACCTGCCAAGAAAGTTCCATTTACACTCCAGAAAACCACATGTGGCTAAGAACATTTTCAAATAATATGAAGTTATTTTCACTCAAAAAATGTGTAAAAAATTACATTATTCATACTTCGTCACTTATAAATATTCTGCCTCATAAAATCACATTCAGTGTTCATTAACTAGTATCGATATATTATATCAAATCAAATCAAAGTATAATAAAACATCAAATAACTGCTATGATGTCACGGGGCGGCTGGCGCAGTGTACGTTCGGAAGGAACATACCCCACAAGAAAAAAAGTTCATAAAAATCAACATGCATATATAATATAGAAATGCAATAATTTATGCTGTGATCTTTATTTTGTCATAATATGGAAATACAAGTTATTTTGTTTTCTAAAAAACTTCTCACATTTTCAGCTAAAAAAAAAAAAACTTTTCACATATGCATGGTGGGGGAGGGATGTTTAAGGAAATAGATAAATAAAAATAAGTAAATTGATATGTTGTTACGGAGTCAATGGTGTCTGATGATGTGTGTTGTGCGCGTGTGTGATTTTTTTTTTTTTGCCCAACGTGTGTGAAAGTTATTCACCTATTGGAATTTTTGGGATTTGAAATTTATAATTAAAAATCTTTCATCACACACAACATCAATATACACAAATTAATAAAATTGGCCGGGTCGGCCAAGAGGGGGAAAAATAACGAGAAAAACACAAACAATTGGATATTGGTCCAGAGAAGAAAGAGACAGTTGGAAATGAAGGTTTATTTGCATTAGGAATTGGGGGATCTGTAACTTTGAAACGCGTGGAATTGAAAATCAGGGAAGTTAATTTATTGATAAATTAAGCTGGCGCAGTTACAATTAATTTTTGGGGCAGTATCATGACTGTATATTTGATCGATGAGTAAAGTTAAGCACAATCATGCAAGGATGGGAAGGGACAACTTGTTGAGGAAGGCTTTATCATGTCCTTGATTTGATTATTAGTTGATAAGTGTGTTTCCACAATAATTAAAGTAATAATAATATGATTCCATATGAATGATATACAGGCGCAGAAGCAAAAGGCCACATCATATCTCTCATTTTCAGTTGGATGATGTATCTCCAATTCATTGGCAGCGTTTGGTGATGAGTAACACCACCTTCTGTGACATCATTTCCTTCAGTATCTACGCAAGGTATCTAACTATAACTAAGCAATTCTTAGCCCGTACATATTGACATTATTGAAAATAATAATATGTATATTACTAGTATTAATTATGTATTTTACATATATAAAAAAAAAAAAAGGCAAGGGCTTGTTTGGTTCGTGGAAATTCAGGTGATGGGAAAGGAAAAACCGATAACGTAACATGTGTCTCCTCCCATTGTCAACGGTCAAGCGCATTTGGTTGCTCCATGTCCCCGGCAAGACCATTCCCCATCCAACCTGCATTAATTCTTGCGTTTCACAGTCAGAGTGTCGATACCTAATGCTCCTTCTGCAATGAGAATGATGCTTCCATTTACCATAATGCCCTCATCTTTTGGAGGAGATCGAGGCATAGGAATTAATTAATTAGAAGCTTTACGACGACCTCAAACTGAACATTGCCAAGTGTTTGATGCTGGATCTCGAATCATTTTCAGTCGGTCATATAAGGAGGTTTTGGACACGAGATCTGGAAGCTTCCAACACTGCATGTATCACTGATGGCTTAGAGCAGCCATAGGTGAATATCGCATATGCGTTTGACGTCTTCTTCCACCTCCTAATTAACTTCCTGCTTTTTGTTTGTTGGAATTTATATATATGTACATGGTTTTTTTCCTTTCTATAATTAGCAGGTCTAATATGGTTTTTCAATAATCCCTAGGTATTATGATGCAACTGTGACAATATCTCATTGTTCATACAAATATATTTTAACTCTGCACAAGGCATGCATGATACATGCCAACTGAAAGGAACAATAACTCAGAGAAAAATGTCGATCTTCCAGATCATCATTTGAAGTTGGATACTAGATGAAACCGTGCTTCAAATTGATTAAATGGGGAAAAGGAGAGCAGGGGATTGGGGTGACTTTCATTATTAGAAAGAAAAAGAGGAAATTAGACAAACATTTCAGATATATAGACCTAACGGATGCTGATGACTTTAAAATATATGGCCTGTGCATGCATGTCTATATGAAGGGCGGGGAAGGTGGTATCTAATGAAGGGTCGCGATCAAATGCGTTAGGTCGGACGATATTTGTCAGCTAGCTTTAGGATTTTTCTGCATAATTAGGATCTCGAGTTTAGTATTAGACAAGGTAGATCATCCTTCGTGGAAAATGTATTATAATTGATAAGAGTTGCAAAAGTATATCTTGTTCATAAATTTCAACTCATTTGTCTTGTACTGCTTGCTTGGTCAGAATTAGATAATCCATTTAATTTGGATATGGCAGCACTCAGCCCCGCGCTTCATTCTCAGCCGTCCTTTGCAAACAGAACTTCACACACAGGCGCTTCTGTCAAATCTTTTGGCTCGCTCAACAATTGAAATATCTCTCTTCTCTGACCTTGACAATCGTCATATCACATATTAATTTAATTACATGACTGTGCCTGATTGCCGGCGCTAATTAATTACTTAATCCTTATGATATTGCATTAGTTTGAACATATAAATGAATGCGTCATCTTTTGAAGCCTTTGAAACTTATCTGATTGGAAGAAACGTGTTTATAAATAACAATCTGAAGGGTGACCTTTACATTTCTATCTTTTGTAATTCTATCTTGTTCAAAAGTTGTAAGAAATAATTGACAATAAAATAATGCTGGCACTCATGGATGGCGGTGAGCTAGAAGGAATTCTCCCACAATGATTGGAAGGCAAGCATATAAATAATGAGGAACAGTTACCGTCCACCAAGAATGGGGGCGTATATTGTATATAGACACACACTCTTTAAGACGTATGGAATAGAGAAAGACAAATTTAGTAAAGAGGAGACAGTTTGTTCACATGGCAAATCAGAAACATGAAGGTTTGGCCAAGATGGAATTGTGTAATTCATAAGAATAAGGAAAAATAATAAAAGAGGATGGCAGGGTCCCACGAAGGATATGAAACTGTGATGAACAGAGCTATGGAGGTAAGGAAGCTGCAACTTTGGCTGCGAGGGTGATGGGTGAGAGATTAGACAGGCTTTTGTGATTGAGGTCCACTAACTCTTAACCCTCTCCACCCTCGCCCCTGCCTTGTTCTCTTTGTGTGGCCTCCAAAATCTGCCTCTTCATCCACTTGTTGCCTACATCCTTGCGGCTTTCTTGCCTCAAATCCACTTATCCCATTCACATAACTCAAAGCAGCCTCCCACAGCATATACAACATATTTTATTCACATTAGCAATCTCAAAGCTTTGCATATAAAACTATCTATTAGAGCAAGATGTATAGAAAGAAAAGTTATCCTTTCTATTCGAATATAACCCAAAATAAAATTAAAAGTCTCTAGCAACAAACAAGATAGTTCATTGGATGATGACTATCAGAGACCAGCAGAACCATATGCCCTCCGATGTGGAGGGGGACCTTGTACCTTAGCTTGTTACACTTGGGAATATTACACCAGAAGCTTCACCGAGAAGACTCAGTATATATCATGTATACCTACTACTATTACTACGGGCTATCTAGTTGGGGGAACTAATTAGAGAGGACATATATAGAGATTCAGGATCGTAATTGCTTGTATATGTATCGATCAGCTAATTATAGTCTTCGACGGAGTCTTCGGGTTGCGGGTACTCATTCAAGTCGGGTTTGTCTGAGGTGGTTTGGGTAGAACTGGTGGAGGGAGAGGAGGCGTGAAGGGCTGTTTGGAGGGCGTCAACTCTGGCGCCGACTTCGGTGGCTTTCTTGCGTATGGAATCGGCGGACATGTCGCCGCGGCTGAGGGCGTCGTCTTCTTGGAACAACAGCTCGGGGAAGTTGAGGGAAGCAGAAGGGCCTCGGAGGTAATAAACGGCGGTGTCGTATGCGCGTGCGGCGGCGATGGGCGTGGTGTAAGAACCGAGCCAAATCCTGGACCTCTTGTTGGGTTCTCTGATCTCAGCCACCCACTTGCCCCACTTCCTCATCCTTATCCCTCTGTATGGCTTGTCCTTCGCTGCTTTTTGGTGTTGTCTCTGCTGCTTCCGCTTCTCTGGGCCGCTTCTGCTCGTCGTGATCGTCGAATCCCTCGAACAACAGTCTCTTTCTTCCATGTTAATTACTGTACCTACCCACCGACTTTTGCGTTAGCAATAAACCTTTGTTGCCCTCCCCCAAAAGATGAAACGGAAAACTATTTCTATTGCTTCATCGCTTGAGGAGGCTTAGATCTGTCAATAAATATCAGGTTGTGAGCCCTGAAAGTTAAGAAGAAGATTCTGTTTTCCAGACCCAGAAAAGACTTGGCCACCAAACCATGTTGCTGTTGTATTAGTTTATATTTATAGACGAAAAATGATGAGGGGGAAAAGAAAAGAGTTTAGAAAGAAAGAGAGAAAGAAAGAAAGGAGACTTGTTTATATGATGTGCGCTATTATTCTTTCAATTAATTTTTTAGAGAGAGAAGAGTTTCGTACTTGGCTGCTAGTCTGTCGACTGGGTACGGCCGCCACGTTGAGCTTCCTTTAAGATAAATCCAAACATGGCCGACACAATCCATCAGACCATCTCCCCCCCCCCCCTCTCTCATTTGAAAGGCCAATTTGTTCAGGGATTCATCATACTCCTGAGCGCCGACGAGGACCGCTTGCGCCTCTCTGTGGATAGTATATCGATACTAGGGTGCGATATTCATTAATAATTTAATATTTACTCTGCAACATACCAGAGTATTTCTTATTTTGAAAATTTAATAGAAATATATGAATAATACAAAGTCAAAGGCTTCATTTTTTCAGAGATAGATGTTGATATATATATACACACTACTCGGTCTCTTATTAGTTATTATAAGATTCTTTTAACTAAATTGTGCGGTTTAAGAAAAAAATTAAAATTAGTTAAAAACAATTAATATGTAGTAAATATAATTTTTTTAAAATATATTCCTGTATATAAGTGAATAGATGTGAGAGAGTAATAGTAAGATAAATGAAGAAAGAAAATATATTAAATATATTATATTATGGATAAAATAGGTAATAATGCATTAAATGTTCAAACAAACTCAAAAAGGATCTTATAAAAAAAGAAAAATCTATTTAAAAAATTAGATTTTATAATAAGAGGCGGAGGAAGTATAGAGTATGTCGCAGATTGATATTTTCATGGACGCCCCTTTTTCTGCTTTGCCTAGGGTTTTTGTCTTTTTCTCTCCTATCGATCGTATATAAGCAAGTATGAATGTATTTATGTGTAATTTGAAAGTGGATGAATAATTAATTAATAAAAAGGGGATAATTATACTCCTTCAACACTAAATGTAGCTAGTAAAAAAAAAGCTAGGTAGGGAGTTTATTTTGATCTTAAATCTAAAATCTTAATTCATTTTATTTCTCTTCATATTTATCTATTCATCCTAGATTAATTCGTTTAATTTATAAGTTGATACTACCTCTGGTTCTAAATATAAAAACTAACTAAATATTCAATCTGATCCTAAATATAATACTCAATTTACTCTATCTTTTATATTAATTTATTTTTCTTCAAAGTAGTCTTCGTGATGATGACACATGTTAAATTGTTTCCATTCTAATGTACGTAACTGATAAGAATATTTTAGGAAAAATAACACTCATTCATTACAAATAAGTAACTTAATTAATTTTTTAATATAAAAATTAGTTATCTAGCTCTGATATATATTAAAGACAATAGGTAGTTTATGCCTCTGATCCTATTTATAAATAACTTTTAACGTATTTCACATAAACAGAAAAAAAACATTAAACTTCATTAACTCTTATTTAAACTTTAACAATTTTTTATTTTTTTCCTATTTAATATATGCTATATGTCATGTAAACAAAGTCAACAAAATAATAAACGAATGGTAAAATTATACATCTATAAAAAAAATTGTCTCAGTACTCTATAAATAAGACAAAAAGATGTCTTCTCTCTCTGCCTTACAAATAGAACTATAGGAGTGTAATTTAATATAGTGTTGCATAAAAATATTTAATTTTAGGAAAAAAAACTAAGTAACCTTTTTAGCTTTTTTAAGCAGTTCTTATATTGATATTAATGATAGGAAGAGCAATAATTTGTGGAAGGGATTAAGCGTGAGATGTGGAAAAACAAATGATTTAGACGCGAGGGGGGGTGAGTTAGTGGTTTGAATAAAATGAGAGAGGGAGAGAGATATGGGTGGGTGGAGAGTGGACAAGTGGATGAATATAAGCGAAGAGGGGGAGGAGTGGGTGGATGAGGCAGGATCAAAACTGTGAGGATCGGATGACTTTCCGTCCACGCAATATATGAATGAAAGATCACATTAACACACACCAAATTAGATCATAACAACAAATATCTGTGGCGTTGTTTGTTTGCGTGCTCATAATATTAACTACTTTTATTTTCTTCCTCCCTTTCATCACTTAAACCGCGCCCTATTTATTACGCGTGTTGAAATTTCACCACCCAGAGTATGTGCACGGCTAACTAGATTTGTAACTCCGCTTTTCAATCGAAAGAATTACGAATATACTGTATACGTGCAATTTCATGGCGAAATTGTGGGCGATAATAATACACGAGTCGATCATATACGATAATTAATTTGGTTTTAGGCGATAATTGGCGAATGTGTTACTACCTCTGATTCTTAATATAAGACCCTGTTTGACTTTTTATTTTGATCCTAAATATAAGATCCCAATCCATTTTATCTCTCATATTTATATATTTTTCTTAAGGCAGTCCTTCTAACAATGATCATTCTAACTAATACGCTTGATTAGCAAACATATTTTGGGAAAGAAAACACTTATTTATTATAAGTAACTAATAACTTAACTTATTTTTTTAATATCCTTAAATTAGTCAACAAGCTCTTATAATTAAGACGAGAGGTAATATTGATGATGGATCACATGACATCAAATGATAAAATAGTGGACAGAGTAAGAAGCACAATAATTAAATGATGAGCGTGGGAGTGACATTTAGGAGGGAAAAAAAAAACTGCCGCCCTTAAACACCTAAAACAAGAAAAGGATATCTTTCGAGCTAAGCAACAAGAAAGGGGGAGAAACCAACTGAAAGCTGGGGAATGTGGAATTCATGGGCCACAGGCCACGCAATGGCGGCACACCCCCCCTTTTCTCTCTCTACACAAAACTACGATTTTCAATCTCATGCGCTTATTAATTAATTACATTTAATTAATAATAATGGCGATGATAATTGAACAAACTTGTTGGAAAAAAGTTATACCCCTCCTATTTTTATATTATAAAATAATTCTTATATTTAGAATCATATATTACAAAATAAATCTTACATTCAGCACCAAATGAATATATCTAATTTTCATCTCTTCATGTCAATCACTTTTCCTCTTTGAATATTTGCACTAATAATAGCAATGAAAACTTTGAGTTTGTAAAAATATATGTATTAATTAGATTTTTGTCGATATATTTTAAAAGAGACAAACACGAATTTACACATATAATTAATTTTATCATTAAAAATTTGTATATTTTTAATTTTTTTTAAATTCATCACCGTTAATTTCTATTAGCAAGAGGGAAAAGAAAAAGGATCCATTATTAGGATGAGTTAGGATTAATTAAGACAGTAGCATGTTGGGTCATCGTGGGCATGATTGGGGGACTGAAAAGATTGAGGTTAAGGTGGGCATGCCACAACCCTATCATGCTTCTCTTCTCTTTTTAAACACCAAAAACGGCCAATTATAAAAATTGATCCACTTATTACCCTCGGGATCCTTTATTTATTTTTTTAGTTTTTAGTATTTTACAGATATTTCCGTGGCTCCATCGTAACCCAAAAAAAGTAGGTAAACATTTTATCAAGGTTTAAATTTAGATATTAAAAATAAATATATACTCTTCATGTTTATAAGAATGAGGGAGAAGATTTGTTTTGAATTAAATATTTTATTCTTTATTTATTGTTGTATATGTTTTTTTTTTAAATTTATATTAAATATGAGTAAGGTTGGGTAGCTGTTGAGTTTTAAAGTAAAGCTATTAAGATTTAAGATTTTTTTTAGTTTTCATAAAATATACTGTAACTGTCTATTTGGTTAAGCGTTGGGGGGCTAAAATAAGTTCAGTTGAGCCGAAATAAGTAATTATAAAATCTATTTATCCTGGTTGGCTAAATTTTTTAATTTAAAATCCTTATATTGTTTGAGAATAAGTTACTGGGAATAATTTTTCGATTGAAAAATCACAATCAATAGAGGTAATTCAACAACGAGAATTTCTCTTATCAACCATTGTTAGCAACAATTATTTAATTAAAAATATATTAAAAGAATAATAATTATACTTATGGGAATTATATTAAATTATATTTCTCATATATATATCCTTGTTGCTTTTTAGCAATTATATACATATAAGTGATTTTAATAAATAAAATTCAAACATAATAATAGTTTTAAAGTCACTTATAAAAAAGAGTATACAAATAATTAAAAAATTATAATCATTTAAAGTTAGAATTGTTCACTGCTAATCTTGACCCGTAAATAGAATAGAATGGAGGTTGTCTAAATTACCCTCGATTTTTCGCATGGTTGCGGGAAAAAAGTTGGCCAATGAGAGGGGAAGAAGAATAAAGAAAGAAGCAAGTTTGGGTGATGGAGGGAGTGGGCCACCACCTAACTGCCCAGCGTGGAGGAGGCTCGTCGGCAGTCCATTTTGTCCGCTACTGCCATATGCAGTGCCATCATCACAATCATAATAATATTATTCATAAACAACTCCCAAATTATTTCATCTCATTATTACCATCATGTCGCACTTTGACATTACTATTCCACACAGTCCTTATCAATGCCCAAAGCACCTGCACACAGATATACATAATTAACATCAAAATTAAAACAAAACCAATAAAACCCAATGCATATGAAAAGGAAGAACCAATATAAAGAAGTGTACCCTTTAGGCGAACATACGTGGATGTTTACTCGCAGCACGAAATACGGCACAGGGACAGTGATTGATGAAATTCGTAAAATACTCTATGGTCTCGCATCCTTCTCCTTTTTGTAGATCACGGGCCCGTGATATTGAACCAGTAAAGATGCATGAATCGGCCATGAAAGTCAAGACCGAAGAAACCCTGCAACTTGCACGCAGACACATGCTCCGCTGCTTTACCACTTGACGGCTACCAGACCCTGAAGCCGTCCATTATAATATTAATATCTCATACTACTATGCATTAAAGCCGTAGATTCAGTACACACCAATGTCCATCCGTCGCAACAAACTAACCAATCATAGCCCTCGCAGCAATATGATGACAAATAGAAAATCCCATGTCACTGTCAGACTTCATTGTCTTGGGAGCAAGATCAGTACCATATTGTAATTCATGAATCCTCTGGCTCATAAGCTTTTGGGAATATAAAGCGGGTGAAGGGTACAAGCTGAGCAGGTCCTACTGATGAAAACCTGGCCTTCCAGGGACCAACTTGTGCGCGTGTGTGTGTATAGTCTTACTACAATTCATTATTGTTGCTAAACAGCCTGAAATATGTGCGAGTGCTGCCTTTCCACTCCAGTCATGCCCCTTCAGCTTCTCACACCAGTTGTGTCTCCCATGGCTTCGGCATTGACGACAAACAGATATATACTCTGACAACCTGAAATACATAAAATATTGGATCGGTACAGTAGACTGTAATACATAAAATGTTGACTCAGATTTAGCCTTCCAGTGCATTTGGTTTGAAATGGTAAAATGCATGTGTGTTCCTGGGTAATGGCTGGGGGACCGGAAAAATAGTTTCATGTTTTGTTGAAGTGAAGAGTACCATAATACTCATCAAATTTTAGCCATTCAAATTTAATACTCATCAGGTTGCAATTTAATTTTTAATATTTTTTTTTTTAAAAATGTGTTTGTTTAATAAGTGCATAATTCAAAATAAATGTAATTTCATAATTATAATTTTTTTTAAAAAATAAATTTTTATTTAAAAATTACTAGTTGAAACTTTTAAATCTAGACCATTAAAACTGTATATGAATGTTTTAGATTACACGGCAGTGATAACCATTGTGGTGCTCCATTAACAATGAAACTGGTTTCCCGAAAAAGAGTTTAAACTTTTATCACCTGTTCATGTGCATGACGGCATTTTAAAGTGTGGTTTTCAAGTGCATGACCCAAAATTATGAGGGGAAGAAAGCGCAAATGTGAGGTGCCTCACTTCCGTCTCGTTGCCCTCTTATCAGTCCACGAATGACACTTAGCGGTCCCAAAAGGCGAGCGGGTTGAAAGGTCAAGCCCATCTCAGAACGACTTGGGCGCAGCTAAATCATAAAGGGCACAATTGTGGTCCTTGAGCCTCCAGTGTTCCAGGAAGCCCAAAAATGAAAAGCCTGGTGTGCAGATATCCAAGAGAGTTAGAATGAGAAACACTTTTCCGATAGTAAATATAAAACCTATTTCATAGTTTAACTTATACTATAAAATAAGTCTTATATAATTGAAAGGGTAGAAAAATATTAACTATTCATGTTTATTTTTTCCATTCCAAAGTATAATGTTATCCTAATAAGTTGTTAATATTGACCCAATCCAGCAGTTACTTTTTTAAATAAAAAATTCATTCAAATATATTTATTAATTAAAATGAGGGATAAGGTAGTTAAATACTCTTGAAATATATACGAATGAGCACCTAGTACCTATAAGCTTTTTTAGTTCTCATATGTCTTGAAAGTTTTATTTCTTGGCATTTTTGCCTTGAAGAGATTGCTCAAATTGTATAATTTAAACAGTGGATAACGGTTATGGTATTTTTGCTACTAAAATAAACTTTTAGGCATATGAGATATAAATAAGATACAAGTAATTCAATCATTCAACATGAAATACCATACACGTTGAATGACTCGAGTAAAGTTAACGAGAATCAAATGCTTTATGCAAAAACCTAGAATCATGTAGATGTAAAACGGGCGTGGCGGATGGCAGCTTTAGGCGTCCTAATTGAAAGCAGCAGGCACGCTCAAGAATATGATGACCAGCAAGCACTGACACATTAATGCACACACAAAAACCCACGCCATTTAGTTTCTTACCTCTTCCATATGTTTAAATTAAATGAAATTGCCCAAAAAGAGAATAGGCGTTGTGCTGACGCATGCATGACACGTCGGTTTTGGCTATAAGATGAACGTCCATGGGTACATCAAGCAAACTGCCACAAGCTGGGTTTAGAGAACTCTTGTCAGCAACACGAGGGACAAACCAGATTACGAGCTCTCTGCCTTTGTAATTCTGCCATCAGTGCCCTACCTTCATCATTGCCATTACACTCTCTCTCTCTCTCTCTCTCTCTCTCTCAGAGAAAAGAGCTTCTTTGGTCCCCTTGTCTTCCCCTCTGCGTTCCCCTTCATCTTTTAAGACAAAAGTTCAGAAGAGTGCCCGGCTTTCTGTTTCGGTTGACTTGCCACTCATTGCCTCTCATTCTCACTTTTGCATCTCTATGCGATAAAGCCCCGGCCCCATGAGAATATCAGGGCACCCAATTCTTATAGCTTTCATAAAAGCAACCACATCCAACTCACTGTTCATTCTCAAAAAAGCAAAGTTCTTCACTTGTGGCCTCAATTTATGTATGCCTTTGCCTTTGTCTTTGCTTCACGACAGCATCCTCTGCATCTTCCTGCAGCTCCACATTTTTTAAAAAAAACTATATCTTAATTTCAACGTTCTTAATTTTTTGGTCCTTCTTTGACTTTACGCCTTGACTATAGCCATGCATAACATTCAATCCCCTTCTAGAATATCATTTCAAAAATTCTGAAAGTTTCGTCCAATCATATATTGTCGTTTACTTGGGTTAATCACCAATTCGCACGCCTCTTGGCCTGGATCAAGGCATTTGGATTACTATTATTAGTATAATGGAACGAAGCTAAGTGCAATAAGCACCCTGCGGCACTGACTATAAAAGGCGTCTGTCGTAATAATTTAAATAATAATGCCCGCTTTTCTCAGCTGCATCATCCGAAAAAGGGAAAAGGCAGTACAATGATGTACCATCATAAAAATTAATAATTGGTCACAGAATGATTATCAATCATACGGTTGATTGCTCCTTTACTACTCCTACTCGTTTTTCACATAATCAAGACCCAAAAACGACAGTGATCGTTTAACGACCATAAAATTTCTGAAAACTCAGCTACCAGAAAATCTATCTGCTTTTTGAGAGAAATGTATGCCTCTGACTAATTAAATCCGTACATGAGCTTCAAAGATAGAAGTTGAGATCAAATATATGATGATGTGTGGGTGTGTGTGTATATATATATATCTCGAATAATTATATGGAAATGCGTGGCGAGGACGGGGTTAAATGTATAAACAGAAAAGAAAAGCATAAAAAAAAAAAGAGACGAACCAGGAATAGGTGATATATTTGTACAATTGTGCCAACCCAACTTGATAAGATTTGGTAGAGCCACAAGCAAAAGTGATGGAATAAGACAAGAATAACATGTGAAAGTGTTTTTGATCGAGTACACTACAGTGGCACCGTCCCATAAGTCAAGAAGACATTTAAAAATGGAAATGGTTACTAGCTAGAAGAAGCAACCCTGCCGTGCCGCAATGGCCACTGGATTAAGCGAAGAGTTTGGGAAAGAAAAAAAAAAAGGTTGAATTGAAACAATCGACGAACATAAGTACACTAATTTTGTCGTTGGATTATGGAAAGTGTCGGTGATGCTCGCTTGCTTTTCTTTTTCGCTGACAGTTATTGGACTAATTCTTTATTCCATCAACTTATTCCTATTAACATATGGTAATAAATTTAATTTTTCATTGTGTGATCAGGAGATTTGAACTCTGATCAATGTTTACATACATGGTTACAGCCATCATAATATAATACGGACATGCACCGTGTACTTTTGTAGAAGAATATAGTATAGGATTGCAATTAAATTATAATTTTATCATATTTCAATGATAAATTTTAATGATTTTCTCTCGTGTTCTAAATTATTTTAGTTAAATCGTTGATTTACAGACATTAAAAAAAATTTAGTTATGTCTGTTATTTGTAAAAATATGTTTTAATTTTTTTAAATATTTCATTTAATTATTCACATAGGAACTTATTCTTATTGACAGGTTTATGGTAAAGAATTCCAGGCCTTTTGTTATAGTTATTTCTTATTGAGTTGATAAGTAATACGAGTAATTTAATTTTAAAAATAAAAGAATTCATCTCGATTGGGTTTAGTTTAAACTTTTTAATGGACTGATGTGATCTCATTGACTGCGGAAAAACTAATTCCACACTACAATAAAATTAGTTACGATGGAACTACGAAGTAAATATTTTGAACTGCGAAAATCGCATAGAGAACCTCTTAAGAACGTAATTGATCAAGTAAATAATATGTAAAATATAAAATTGAAATGTTCTGCAATCATTTAATCATCCACAGATTCGAGTCGTGCGCATATAAATAATATACATGCAGTGAGTTGAGAAAAAACTTATATGTTTAATCTTATATATTTAAGGCGCTTGTTTTCAATCAAATCGAAACATGTGGATTTTTTTTATATATGTATTACTTGACAGGACAAAGCATATTAAGTATATAACTATATAATACTACTAAATACCAGAATTTTGTTCATATATTAAAAGCAAAATCTGTATGTATCTTATCGAATTGACGAGTCAATCTTAACAAATTTTGATGAAATCAGGCTTGAAATAGTTAAATTAAAAAGGAATTAAATAAGTTTTGTCCAACTCCAACCATATCAAAGCGGAGAGAGCAGGAAAACAGGATTGGAATTGGAAGCGATAATAATGTCAAAGAACAACATAATCAGGAGCGGCCGCGCCGAAGCCATCTCTACTAATTACAGACGGACCATAACCATTGGCCTTCTCCAAGTCTCTCTCGGGTTTTGTTTTGGGATGAAATCCCACAAAGTCGCTCTCTCAGCAATGTAAATGAAGACAACGCGTTCATTGCTTATTAACGACGAGAGCTTGTCGGTTCGCATCCATTAAATTATAGTTAGGGCGTATTCACAATCAAGTCTTGGTCTCCGAAAATTCGCTGCCTCGCTTTTACTGTTGGGTAACACAATAGGCTGAATTCTCTTCCTTCCTGCATGCCTTAATTGAACCAGTCTTATAGTCTACGCCTTCCGCAGCCTCCATTTTTCTCCCGTTTTCACTCTTTTCTTCCTTTACGATAAGTCCTTCCAAACCAATCTATGCATCAATATCCGAGAGGAAAAGAAAGCCGTAACAACAAGAGATGACCGAGCGGGTAAATATTGCGGCGGTGGCGGCCACCGTCGGATGTGTTTCGACGCTTTTGCTGGTGTTTGTTCTGCGTTGGTGTTATCGCAGAAAGGGAAGAAATTTCGTAGAGCCGGGAAGTCTTACCAGAATGACGAGCCTCCAAGCAGCCACGGGTAGGCTTCATCCCCAACGTCCACCGCAGCAACCTAGTGTTGATCATCCGTTTGATCAGGGAACGAAGAACAGGGGCAATTTTTTTGTGTTTCATCGAGGGATCTCCGGAAGGCCTTTGTTCAGTTGGGCTGATCATCCGTATCTGGCCGCTGACGCTGTGGAAAACGGATGGTCTCGATTTGCTTTCACGGCCTACAAAACCCACATGTCGTCTCCTTCAAAAAGATCGGCTCTTTTGGGAGTATGTGCGGCGGGTGATCAAGGAAGAGAAACAGAGGCCGAGTTGACCTGGGAAGTATGTCAGGGATCCGCCGATTTTATGCAGAAGATAAGATTGAATCCTGGGCTTAAAAGGGTTCATCCAAACAATCCTTCTATGAGTGTTGCTTCGGTGATCAGGACGGCTCTGCCTCTGCCTGGCCCTCCTCTGGGAAACCATTCCTTCCCTCAAGAGGCCTATTTTGAAATTACCATTCTATATTCCCGAGGCGATGATTATGAATCGGTTGGGAAGAATGGAGAAAGCGAGAAGATTAAACTCATCCCGGAAGGGAAATCGGAGGCTTTGGTCCACGTTACCAGTAGTCATAAAATTAACAATGTTGAAGAAGTCAAGCTTGATGGGGAAAAAAGCGAATCTCTGATGTTTTCGTTGGGGTTAACAGCGGGAGGCTCAGTTCCTTTGAGAGTTCCAGGTAGCTATCCTGGGAGCATCGGCTTCAGTTCCAACGGTTCTGTCTTTCTTGATGGTAAATTAACTGTTCTTTTGTTTTTGGGTTGCTTTTCTGTGTTCTTTCCCCAATTCGAAGAGGTGTTAATAGTCACAGTTCAGAGAATTTCTTTTTGTTAAGATTCGTAGAACAGAGGACAGAGTCCGTAGGTGACAGTGATAAATCCTGTTTTGCACTGATGTGCTAGGAAGGGAACAGCATAAACCCACTCAACTCGCATTTTTCACCAAAAAGATTAGCACTACGATAGAACCACAGGAAATGTATCCTTTAGCAACAGGTTTATTTATGTTAACCTATTCCCAAAAAAAAAAAAAGGAACACGTGGACATATCACGGGCACGCCGGCACAGTTACCCGGAAAAAAATGGTTTTTTTTTTTTCTTTTCTTCTATTGGGATATGTTATTTCTTTCGAGTAACGAGACACGCACATGTGACTTGGTGTTGGGCATCTCCTTTCAGGAATGAAGCTGGTATTCGAGTCCGATAAGGCAGAATGGGTAGGAAGTGATAGGGTGATAGGGTGTGGGTTTGATCCGAGGCAGAAGAAAGTTTTGTTCACGTTGGACTCAGAGTTGGTGCATGTAATTCATTGTCAGGCAGAGGAATTCGGGACTCCCCTATATCCAACGTTGGCTGCAAATATCGACATCCTAGTATCAGTAAATTTTGGACAAAGCGCATTCAAATATGCTCCTGCGAATGCACAAAGAACACCAAATCCATGTTTTGTAGCCCCTCTTGTAAATTCCCCTGCCAACACTCTGGGCTACGACGACAGCAAGGAGTTGTTTTCAATGGGAAGAATTGACTCTCAGTGGCTGAATCGATCTGCAACCAAAGGCGGCCACAATGGTGGGGCCAATAATCGAGTGGTAGATTTTGATGAGGAGTCCGAGGCTGATCTATTTGAAATCGTCCTGGATGGTTCCCAAAAACCTCCCAACTCAACGACTTCGTAGCTTCCGTATGTACAGATGATGATCCATGTCTGTCTGATCCTAGTTGTCCTGGTTCTGGCCTCTAACCTTGTTGCTGCTTGAGTTGTCCCAGTGGCCAGTGAGCTTGGTTTTTGCCTATCATACACATCATGGGCTTCATTTGGAACTATGTTTCCTGTCCTGTCACTTCCATAACGTGGGGCTTAATTAGTGCTGCATCACCAAATCCTCTAAGGTCATACTGGTACAAAATACAGAGACAAAGGGTTTAACTTCCACCACTAACTTGTTACGCACAGCTTCGTCTTCCCCCTCACACCGGGGCTCAAAATATAGATTTTGTCTTTTGCAAGATGGCATTCTTTTTCTCTGTATATAATTGTTATATGATTTTTTTCGAGTTCTCTTTCTCATTTGCAAACATTGTCCGATTAATAAGTTTGAGTGGGGAAAGTCGTTAATGTAGTATCAGAATTTTTTTTCTAATTGAAATGGTTTCTCTCCATTCTCTTAACTAAACTCAGGTTGGCAAAAACATTAAAAAAAAAAAAAAAAAAAAGAAGAAAAACTAAACTCAGGTTTAGGGGTTTGGATACTACAAAAAGTGCTTTTCAGAAACACTTTTCGCAAATCGAGATAAACTCCTCCACATATTTATCTCGTAACCGTAAAATCACTGCTGAAATCATGGTTTGGTTTCCATCTAAACACCCCTTTAGTTTAAGGGTAAAATAGCTTTCTTTGTATATGGTTATCTAAATAAATCGAAGGATTAAATGTGCAGCTAAAGCAAATTAGAAATTTTATCTTTTTGGAAGGGGACTAACATACATAAATAATTTATTTCAAATAAATTGCTAATAAATATTGATCCAATCAGTTCATGTGTGACTCATATAAGGAATATGGGGTGAATTAGTGTAATGAGTAATTTTTGAGCTATAAAACGTATTTTGACTTTAGTGAATCTTAAACTCAATTCACATTAATTTTTAACCATAAATATAAATCACACAAATTAAACTGCCATGTGTAAAAAGTATAAAAGAAAACTTAGCCATGTTGATACTCTGTAAGCTAAAGATAGAGCCAATAAAATACGAACCCAATTTCAGTCAAATCTAAACTGTCTATATCTAATTTGAACGGTTCAAATTTAAAGTTTTTAATTAATTATTTTTAAATAGAAAAATTATTTTTTGAAAAAATAATAATTAAGAGATTATTTTTATTTTAGATTCTATATATGTTAAAATAATTATTTTGAACAAATAAAAAAAATTAAATTTGAACTATCTAAATAAGATTAGATTATTCAGATCTGCTGAGTTTAGGATGCTCGTCAAAGTAATGAATACCAAAACTGGATCCATAAAATATACCGATGTAACCTAGCTAGCATGTAGAGATAATTGCAAGACAACCCAATTCCTTTCTCATCCCGTATGAATGTAACTGTAAAATAGACATTTGACACATGTATCAACATACTTCTTCTAGACCTTTTTATAAGGTATTTGGAGGAGAAGTTTTTTATCCTTTTAATAAGAACTCATTTGGAATATTTAAAATTAGAAAAAAAAAGTCTCTTGCTAAAAATTTTATTGATAAGAATGACCTAAATTAAAATATTAGTACTTTGTAGGTACAAAATTTACATAATACTAATACTTTTTGTGTATAAAAATTTATCAGATCTTTCTTGTCAATAAAATTTTTAATAATATGCATTTAAAGGAGGGCAAGATTGAAAATTTCTTTCGTTTACATATAAATCAATGGTTGGCAAAAAAATATATACAAGTCAATGAGTTTTAAGGCTCCTCTTGATTCTAAATAATGCTTAGAGTGCTCTATGAAAAAAAGACGGAAGGAATAAATGCATCCGCTATAGAGCTGAAACTTAGAGTTATGTGTCACATGAATAGAAACAATTAATTAGAAGTTATCTTCTAACATATATTATTCTCCTCTGGTCCTATTTATAGGACAGAGAGAGAAAGACTTTTTTAGTCTTATTTATAAGTTACTTCATTAAATTTTTAGTGTAAATATACTATTTTGTCCTTCATTTATTATAGTGTAGATAGTTATCTCTTTAAAATGTGTATATATTAAATATGGGTAAAGTTGAAAACTTGTTATATTTTGATAGAGAGTTAATATATTTTAAGGTTTTTTTTGTCTGTATGAAATATGCCAGAAGTGTTTTATAAATAGGACTAGAGGAGTATATGATAAAAATCAGAAAACAATAGTCTTAATCAAGAACCCCACTCAGAGAGTGTATTAACTCTATCCTCCGCATCATCATTGTCAATCAAAATATTGAGAATAAACGACGTCACAGTATTATTCCCCTCAATTATGTGTGATAATGCTACAAAATGACTAATTTGCAATTATGTGGAATAGCGAGGACCATGTAAAATATTCCAACAGCAAAATGCTAAGGTACTTTGTACATTTAATGTTGAAACTGCAGCTAATAGTTGAATATATCTCCATAAAACCATTAAGAACCGATGTTCCTGTGATTCTATTTATTATTAAATCCTTCCGAACCATAGAAAGTTGTTCAATTTCAGCAACTGAAGTGATGTTTCAGTACATAACACAAAGAGGAAAGAAGCCTTCAACCTCAATTATGATCACTCAGGACTGAGGCAGCAACCCTTTTCAATGATTCAGCTGCCTTTCGTAGATCAGACTCTGAATGAGCTGCCGAAACGAACAGTTTAATTCCTAAGGGCAGACGACATTCATCCACCGTTGATCTTTTGGAAGCCACCACCAATACACCATCTTCCTCCAGAACCTGTGATTATTGTGCCGTTAGTTACAAGGCAAGTTAATCAATTGACAAGCTGTTTGAAATATCAAGAAAAATTTACTCACCCGCTTGGCAATATCTTCTAGCAGGCGCCGGTCTTTTTCGATGGAACCTGTTGACTTTTCTAGCCTCAAATGAATAATTGGTGATTCTGCATTATTTGTTGTTATCAAGCCGGGGATGTCTGATACTTCTGCGGTTGCCCAAAAATGCATTTTCAAATCAGAGAGAAGATCTTAGTTCTAAGTGGTAATGAAAAGAAATAAACACAAGTCACCAGCACTTCAAATGTTTTACAAAAGCCAAAATAGAACTATTTCATTGATGAATTGGGAATGAGACCAAAGCCCACCTTTCCCCAACAAAGCAATGTTATTCTTCAGCTCTGTAACCAGATTGGGATTTTGTTCGAGGATTTCAAGAGCTTTGGTTGCACCGCTTGCAAGATATGGAGGCAGAGAAGCGGAAAAGGCATAGCCAGCACCTGTCAATCGCTGCCAAGATTGAAAACATTATTACACATTAGTACTTTCGTAAATTCATTACAGTTAGGATTCCTGTCAGGTCCAGGAAAGTCAGTAAAATGAAATTAAAAAACATATCCTTGATTTCCACATTCGCTTTTTCTTTTCTCAGTTTATATGCATTCCAGAGGCCACACTTATCAATCGTAGATGGCGATTAGTATTATCACAGACACTTTCATACTTGGTGAATTTCAGTTCCAGCAATTCCAGCACAGAATCCTCCTTCTGTGGCCAGTGCATGTCCCATCGCAGCAGCTATGATATCTACCTTTTCAGCCTGCAGTACACGACCATAAATCAGAAATGGAAATGCATTTCTAAAGTATGTGAGTACTGCATGCATGCATACATCCATACATGCGTACAACATTCGTACATATATACATATATTAGACACACATTGGTTTCCACTACATACCTGAATTCCATAGTATTCGGTGAGACCTTTTCCAGATCTTCCTAGCACACCAAATGAGTTGCTCTCATCCAACAAAACACGGAAACTGTATTTCTCCTTCAATCTAATGATTTCATCCAAGGGAGCAATTTGGCCAGAATTCTGAAAATTTCATATAAGATAGACAGGCATTGGTCATGTAATCACAAAGTAAAAATGTGAGGCAAATTTTTACAGACGGACAGACAATATGATATGCACCTGGTAGATAGCTTCAACAACTATGTAACGCCTCATTTTCTTGTCTCGCTTATGTTTTTTAGCAACATTCTCAAGTGTTTGTCTCAACGAGTCCATGTCATTGTGCTTAAAATACACCACTGTGCTTTTAGAAAGACAAAGGCCATTCTGGATCCCCCAGTGGACTCCTTCATCCCTGTGAAAGATGGAAATGACTTGTATAGGGATCTTAAGTTTGAGATTTGATGTGAGTAACTTCCACAAGCATGTCAAGTTTCCGTTGAGGTCACGCAAGCCTCCAAGTGTAAGGTAGAATAGGCAAAGGTGAATGGAACCAGGAAGTTGATGGTCAAAGAATAGCTTATGTATACTTACACAACAATTATGTCTCCTCTTCTAGCGAAAGCAGGAATTGAACTGAACATGGTACAAAGTCCATAAGAGTACAGAATTGCATCAGTGGTTCCCAAAAATTTTGATATTTTGGCTTCAAAATCAAGGTGGACATCTGGAGCAAAGAAGAGTACCATCAATTGACAAGCATTTCTTGCGAAGAAATTAAACAGAAGAGGAACAAAGAAAGAAAGAAAATCAATCGAAGCATACAATCAAATCTTACCAAATGTTCCATAAAACCCGCGAGAACTAGAGGAACCAACACCATATTTTTCTATAGCGGCAGTACAGTTCTCCTGAAAGAGGACGTTACTAGTAAATATCACTGCTATACCTCAACCCGAAAGAACATTTATCAATGATATGAGTAGAATTTCCTCAGAACTTACAAGAAGCTTCTCATGACCTATCAATCCAAGATAGTTTGCCGAAGCAAAATTAACAATTTCTCTACCATTAATTATAGCATGCGGCCCAGCAGCACTGCATTAAACACAACTCATCAGTTGGATGACAAAAATAATGAAATATCTGTCCATTTTTCCTTTTGGTTGGATTCCACACTCTGCACAATGACCTACCTTGAAATTTGATGAATGTCCAAAACATCCAATAACCCCTTTATTCTGATATCTTTTAACTTAAAAGATCTTAAAGATCTCCCTTATTTTAAATTTGAACTTAAACCCCCCCGCAATTGTCTGATAACATGGGAGGTCGGAGTTATGAATCCAAGGAAAAAATTGGTCTTCTTTGTCTATATTCTTAACTGTGAAGTTGACCAGAAGAAAACAACAAACATGTAATTTCAGCCGCAGAAGAACGGTCAGCGAAGGAAACAAGAAGTAATGATTATAATGATTATAACTAACAAATCATCACCTATCCAGCACTGGCGGTTCATACAGCATCTCTTTGCTTATGGGAGGAAATAGAGGTTCTGGAACCCATTGGTCACATAGCTCATCTACTTCCTGCAGAAATAAGCACGCATTACAATGTTAAATTACAACATGGGGAAGCCCACATCTCAACAGAATTTCCTTCAATAAAAAACCTGCAGAAGAGACACAGATCCAACGAGGAAAATAGGGCTGTGAAACTAACCTTCGGTCTCAACTTCTGTTTTCGAGGTTTGGAACGTTTCCGGGAGAGCAATAAAAGGCCGACAAGCAGCAGAAGAACTTCAACAAACAAATTTGCTTCAACCAGATGGCAGGAATAAGGAAAACGCAAGTAAGTCAGTCATTGTGTCGTCTACCAAATCAAAAGGGATATTAACGTGAGGAATAAGGTTTTACCACCAACATAGGATCCACAAACTACAGCTCGTGCAGATAAAGCCATTGTCACCCATTCTAAAGCGACGTTAAGCATAGCTAATGCCATCGCAATCTCAGTATCTCACTCAGTTAACTAAGCAATTCTTTGTTTCCTGCTCGTATATGTTCCACTGTGTGTTATCAAACCTTAGAATAACAGACTGCCAAAATAACTCAAAAGAGAAGAAGAATCTTCATTTGTGTTGCTCGCACACTAGTTAAGGATTCAGAAGCAGAACTACGACAAATGAAACTTGGAAGAACTATCTGATAAAAGGGAAATAGTGGACAGATGAGATTATAGATAGCTAACGGTCGCAGCTTCCTGCATCAACACGAGTTACGCCAACCTCCAAATATCTGAACGTCAACCGAACAATTTACATTATGGATCCAGCAATGAGAAGCATGTTAAACTCATTTCCATATAAACCAACCCCCACTATTGTCACTGAAGGTGATTTTATCATGAAAAACAGAAGACAATATTTGGAATTATTGATAAAGGATTGGTAATTTTTTAATGGGTAGGATCTGTTATGCTTACCTTGATTTGCTATGGATCTTTATATGATGATTTAATCAACAATGAAGTGTTAGAAGCTCTGTTGCTAAGCATCTCGACTTCATTGCAACGGGAGAGAGAGAGACAACAAATTAAACACAGAAGACAGTGTTTGGAATTATTGATATTTTCTAAAGATACCTTGATAAGATATTTCAATCGGTCGTCATAATTGGGAATTTTCTTTAATGTGGAGGATCTGTTATCCTTATTTTGATTTGTTATGTATCTTAACTTGATATGATGATTTAGTATTCGCCAATAAAGTAATAGAACCTCTGTTGCTAAGTATCTTAACTTTTATTGAGGGAGACAACCTGCTCCTCTGACAACAAATTCCATTTTGGATCAGGTGAAGTTGGATAGTCACCATTTCATTAAAATAAAACGAGATTTTCAGAAGAAGAATGTGAAAGAGTTCTGGGCAACAAAATAGGTTTGGAGCAAAGTGAAATGAGTTAAAGGAAGTAAAAGAAGAGGATAGATTCAACGGGTTGCTTAACTTGAGGCGGAAGTTTGAGTTCCTTAATGAAGGACAGAAATCGGGAAGCAAAATGCAGAGGGAATTTGATTTTAATATGATGGAAGAGCAGGTGAAGAAGCTTGGGGAGGGTAGCTAGGACTAGAGCATACGGAGAAAGTAGGTTGTCCACGTGCAGGGGTCCGTGGGAGCAGGCGACTGTGAGGTATGATATTGCCCCCCGCCGCCACAAATCTGGGTGGAAAAAAAAAACTTGAATAATATTCATACGCACGCTTATATATCATATAAATGTTAGCGTATATATGCGTCTATATATAATATTATTAATATATTAAATAGAAATAAAATTACGAATATAAACTTTGTCAAATTATTGAAATATTTTTTAATAATTGAAAGTATTTTTCATTTGTATAGGGTGAAGCTAAGGTTTTTTTTTGTGCAAAGTAAGTTGATTAATTGTTTTTCCTTCAAATTAGTTATAATTTTATAGCTTATAATAGTAAATACTATCTTTGGTCTTAAATATAAAATTTATTTTGTATTACACTTACAAATTAAATCTCATATTTAAGACTGGATGTAGTATTAACAAATTCTGCCTCCGATTCTTAATATAAGACCATGTTTGACTTTTATTTTGGTTATATATATAAGACCCCAATCTATTTTGTCTCTCATATTTATACATTTTTTTTCAAAGTAATCCTTCTAACAATGATAGTTCTAGTCAATACTCTTGATTAGCAAGGATATTTTAGGAAAGACAACACATATTTAGGACAAATAACTAACTCAACTTACTTTCTTAATCCCTTCAAATTAGTCAACTGGCTCTTATAATTAAGACCGAAAGTAGTATAAGTTTTTGGATATAAATTTTCCTTTATTTACCATTTATTGTTTATTAGTAAGACAGTAGGCTAGAATGTAGACGGGTGTTTCCTGATGTAGATTATATCATGGAATTTCTTATTGGCTTGTAAGATTTGGAAATTATTGCTCAACCCTTTTAATAGATTTTTATTTTCTTTTGTTATGGTCAAGTTGCTATTGATTAAAATTCTACAAATACCTTCTTCCATAGAAAACTCCCTTTAATTCACCCTTAGAAAATATATTATATGAGGACCACTGAAGCTATAATTCATCACTCCTTGAGATGCGTCTAATTTTAAGACGAAAGAGTAAAATGCTTGTGATAAACGACAGAGATAACATTCAAAGTACTAATGAAATAACTCCGTTTTTTAACGAAGCAGAGTTACTACGTACGTTTGATGCAACACTGATCTCAGTAATTTGTGCGCTTCACCTACCACCTTCCACGGAACCATGTCATTACCACTCACCAATGAGTGAAAGACATTAAAATAATTATTTTCAAACAACAGGAGATATCACAAGGCCAGGAGTGTGATCCTCGTCTGTTCTTCCTGGCTGGAAAAGGAAAAACTTCCACCGCTGCAGTATGTACACATTTGGAAGCCAACTCAGCAGACAGCAATATCAGGATTCAAGCTCCGCCCATCACATCACATGCACCCTCATTTCCACGGACAGAAAGATAAACCAAATATAAAACGAACAGCAATGTCTTTTCTTTTTCTTCTTTTTTTGGAAAAGGGGGAAAAGCTTAGACATTAGCTACCCTTGGCCTTGATAATCAGCTTGAAAATCAATGCTTCGGTCTCAAACAGTATTTTTAAAATGAATTTATCAAGCCAACAAATAGGTCAATGGTATGAACAAACAAGAACATTAAACTAAAGAACAGGGGGGTATTGTTTGGCCTGCTGCCGCACCCTTCGTCTATATTCAGTAGGATCCTGCATATACAACATTGTTTATCACGGTGTGTTCGCCAGCAACATTAAAAATTTCAGGTGTGTACCCAAGGAAATGCAGAAGAACCTGGATGAAAAGCTGGTAACCATCAGTTTGAGCAGGATCAGCAGGGTTAGGTTGGTCCAGCAGATCCTGAATGCCCACGAGAATTTGCTTCACAGTAATGGCAGGTCTCCAACCCTAAGAAAAAGCAAATACGAGAATCAAAACAGATAATCCAAATTACAATAACAGAATCTGCACATAAAATAAATAGTAGACTTCTGCTCTTACACTGTCCTCATTAAGGATCGAGAGGCACACAGTTCCTGAAGGATAGACATTAGGATGGAAGAAGCCTGGAGGAAATTTGCACTTTGGTGGCTTACTGGGGTAATCCTCACTGAAGTTGAGAGTAAGGGGAAAGTAGCCTCCCTCCCAGTCAGTCTGCAACCAAAGGAATAAAGCATTTGCAGAAAATAACAATAACATAATAAATACCAGTCAGAATTGCAACAAGACTAGTCACCACAACATAAGAAATGGATTTACGCTATAGGAGCATTTCCAACAACATCCAGGGAAGACTTTGAGTATTTCATAACATATCACAGATCTTTTCAGTTAACCTTCACAATTAGGACAAGATTGTGAACATACCATCATTCACTATTTTGTCAATGGATCTAGCCATTTGAGAATGGCAACAGAAGGTAGCATTCTTCCCCTATTAAGAAGATATGGAAATTAGAAACAAAGATTGTCTTATGTCATGCCATAATGCTATACCAATTTATACAGCTTCACCTGCACGGGGGTGAGCACCAACCAGGGCCAAAGATGGGTAAAAGGGGCAGAAATCGGTATATATCACTTAACCAAGCATCTGGAGGAAAATAACTAAGTGGCAAACAATGTCCTGAATTTAGGGCGCACAACTGGCAAGATACTAATTTCCAACTGAATCCAGCATTGTCCATCCAATAATATAAACCGGCTGATAATGGATGCAATCCTCAATTCTCATCTCGTCATCGACTGGTTGAGCAAGAAATCCAAGACAATAAAATTATACCAAATTTTAAAAGCCTGGGAATTCAAAAATATGTTTGCGAAGTCTCGTCCAAATCTTCAAATTGGACCACATACTGATGCACTGCTCACTAAGTTATTTCACAATCCCACAATAACATTCATCATATTGGACAAGAAGTTACTTCAAAAACTAGAGTCAATTTAGTTACTTCGAAATCTTATACAAAAGATAGTCAATGTTTCAAAATTCATGAATCATAACTAACCCTGACTGTTCATTGAAAAAAAAAAAAACTAAAACTAAAACTTTAAGTGGCCAATTAAGTTCTATGCGCATTGGCCAATATAAGAAAAGTTTTATGCGCAGTTTTTGATTTAAGGACAGAAAAAAAGAGAATATGAGAAGAGCACTGACCCCAGCCTTGCCAGGGATAATGCAATGCCACACCATCAAATTCACAGAGCCATCTGCTCCAGTTTCTGGCTTCGCCACGAAACCCTAAAAAAGGGAAGAAAAACTTGGCGAGTGACTTCTATAGAAAGCTATACAAGGAGGCAAGTAGATGACAAGGCAGTGAAGATAGAAGACAAGAAGGAGGATGATAGTACGCACATGCGGGTGATTCTTACGCCAGGATTTTCGCTCCTCAGCTAGACGACCCCGCGAGATCCCGCCAGACATTTCCTTGTAGTCTGTCCTGCTCTCGACGCTTCGGTTTTCCAAAAATTTCAGTTCGGCATTAGCCAAGCCCACTGATGGTCCTTTGATGAATGATGAACCTCGTTGCCGTATGTATACTTGGGGGAAAAATTCCACGGCAGGAAAAAAAAATTTTGACCTTGCGACAAAAAATTTATTAAAGCAGCACTAAAAAATTAAAGAGAATTACATTCAAGTTCCACATAAGAAAAATAATCACTAAAAAGTCTCAAGTAACAACCTGAGCAGCCTATAATAACAAGTCTTACAGTGAGAATGACAACCTCTGGGATTTGTTTTTTAATTACTTGGGACCTCATTGTAATTCTCCCAAAAAATTAAGAATCATAAATCATTGGACCGTAAAAATTCTCAATTCCTCTAAAGGCGAAAAATGTGCATGCGTGTGTGAGTTGACTCTGATACCCTTAACTAAAACAAAAGGTCAAAAAAATAATCCACGTACAAACCAAAAACTTTTGGGCAAGTAAAATAAACGATAATTCAAACGCACGGGCTGCTTATCATAAAACAGAATTCTTTCAATTGGACGATGTACTTGATTTTTATATTTTTAAGTATATTTTGTTTTGATAGATGATGCTACTAAGCTCTTCAAGAGAAAATGAGGAATGAAAGAAAACTAGAGAGAAAAATAAAAAGAGAAATGAGTTTTCCTTTATTTGGATGATGAGAGAAAAGCGAGAGGACAGAAAAATAAGAGAGAAAATGAGGTATGGGACTCATGTTATTTTCTCTTTAACTTTTCTCTCCACGGACAGAGAGAAAATAAGAAGAAAACTCACATTTCTCGCATACCCTCCCTCTTATTATGTAAATAAATGCATATTTTGCCTTCAATGCAATTTCTTTAATTTTATTTGTGGCTACTTTATAATTTAGCAAAATTATCTCACAGCAGCCAAATTCCAAACTAACATATAAACTCTATTTTTTCACATTTCATGTAATACTCAGAATTCATACTAACTATACACACACATAAACATATATTTCTCCATCTCTTTCAACTTTTATAATATTTTTTTATTATTTAATAATAATTTTAAATAATATATCTTTTATTTATTTTCTTTTATTATATTTAATTTAAAAAATTATCCACACTTTATTTTTCTATTAAAAATGACATTTTTACTAAACTATTTGATTTTTAAATATAATAATATGATAATATATTTTATTAATTAATTTTATTTTAAATTATTTGATAATATTAATGTTCATATAATTTTTTATGGTAATATTTAATTTGGTTTTAAACATAATATATTGTGAGATAAAGGTATTTTAGTTATTCATATATTTATTTTTTCTCTCTCTCTATTTTTCGTCTTTTATCCAAACAATATGAGTAATAATATGTTCTCTTCAGTTTTTTCTTCTCTCCATTTTCTTTCCTCTTAACTTTTCTTCCCATCCAAACAGAACATGAGAGTGAGAAAGGACTTCCAATCCGATCAAGTCTTTAACTCGAGTGCTTTTTTCAAATCAAAACCATACCAATTAAATAGCTAATTTTTTTATTTATATGCTTTGTCCCTCGTTTTTTTCGAATAAAAACTGTACGAACTTTTTTTTTTGCATATTGTTTCCATTACCAATTAATTAATCTTTCGAAATTATCATTAGATGTTGATCACAATAAATCATGGATTCCAAAACGTGATGATGGTTCATGAGAATATATAGTTAATTTACAACACAAATAATCAATTTAAACCAATCGAACTGCCAATTTTGTCAATCATTTAATGATCGCTTTTGCATTGGTTTCTTTCAGGCAGGTTTATCCCAATATCTGAAGGTGACCATAACCATGAAGGGTTCACAAAAATTTCAATCCAACCAGTTGATTCGTTCTTTTTTTTTTAATGCATAATAAGTTTAAGTGAGTTGGATAAATAGCTCATTAATAAGATTCTTACATTAAAATATGAACTTACGATTTTATAAATTATGAGCTGACTCCTTAAGTCCTTATCAATTAAACTAGTGCTTATTCTTTATGCAATGAGATTCACATAATTAAAGAATAAAGAGCCGCTCACAACTCAGTAAAGTAGCATTGAACCCACAACGTTTCTAGGCAGCACAGGAAAAAAAAAAAAAAAAACTCCTGTGGAGAAATGCCACCACTTTAGCAAATATTCGCTTAAAAAAAATCGTTGTAAAATAATTGGTATCAATGGCTAGCACGCAAGCTTTACAGAGCAAACAGCGAAATCCTTGAAATTTTTTGGCTACAGGCAATTCCCCAGCTCTCATAATGAGAAACAGAAATCCCCTTATTCTACCCCGAAACAGCACACCAAAATATTACAAGCACTATCAACTACTCAGGCGTTAGGTGGCCTACACTTCAAGTTGCAAAACTAACCAGGAAAAAAATGTCTCAGTACATAACATGTGGATTGATGATGTCATTGTCGTTAAAACACTCAATTAAACTAGGTCCTAATTGATTTGTAATTTAGGATCAACCTAAGTCATTACTTCCAAGGAGCAAGTTATGAGTTTCTTTAAGTAAAAATTTAGGTGATAAAAAAAAAAGCAATAAATTGGACCAAAACTAAAATGCAAAATTCTAATTCTAAATGGAAAATGCAAATATCCTAAAATCTATATGAAAATTAAATTAAACTAAATACATGCAATGCAATTTTTGGGGGGGTTTTTTTTAGAAAACAAAATTAAAATGATAAATGAAGAAAATTAATTAGGAAGCAAAGAAAATTAACAAGTAAAAATAGAGAAGTTCTCTTCAGGTAAGGTAGAGGGGACAACTTAGGATTCGCATAGATTTAACCTTCATAACCTTAATCAGTTAATTAGACCAAAGAAAAGTGATAGGAGAGTGGAATTAATAAATTTAATCACCTATTTGAAACAAAGGGAACCCTCAATTTCAAAAACCCTTAAACTATTAGAGAACTCATAACAGTATAAGGTTGGTTAATTAGGCTTATCAAAACCAATGGAAAATAACTCAATTAATTCTGGAAATTATGTTTGAAATTATCTAATTAAATAATTAGACAATTAACTCACTTAATTAAACAATTAAGAGACAGAAGAATCCAAATTTTGCAATTGAAACCACATTGATAATTAAACTCATAATGAAAACTCAATTATAAATTCAATTAACAATGCAAAGGTTCATAAACATAAATTCCAACAAGTGTCTCAACACGAATAAAATCCAAATATCAATTCAATCTAAGAATAAAAATGACAATCTAAAACTAAATTATCTCACAAAATTACAACTTAAAATTATTTAAAACTAAATAATCTTAAGTCCTTGAATTAAAAAAATAAATGGAACATTACTCTCTTATGGTCTTCAAGTGCTAGCCCGAGACTTTAGTCTCTTCTATGCTCCTCCCAAGTTGCCTCCCTAATAAGCTTAAGCTGCCATGGTATTATCTCCTCCCTCCACACTGTTAGGAATCACGGCCACCATAGTTAATGAAGAATGGAGAATGAAATGCTGAATTTATGTGGGACGTGGAATGGAGGAGTTGGTGATGATGATTGAATGGGGCTTTTGTGCGTAGGGAAAGGATATGAATGTTTGATTGAAATCGTAGTGTCCAGCGGCTGAATGGAGAAGGAGAAAGTGATTGAATGTGATGATGGAATATGGTGCAATCCGTGAATGGAGAAAAATTGATATTAGGCGTGACTTTTTTTATATGGAATGAGGAGAATATTTTAATGGGAGAAAAGAAAATTTTATAAATCCAAAGCTCAAGCCTATTAGTAATTAATTGGCCCACTTGATGTCAGCTATTGGATTGTACTTAGATTCTAGGAAACAATCTTGCACCATTGGATTTCTCATATGCTCTTTCTTGACCTACAAGAATTTAAGTGCATCCATTAATGTAGATTATATCCAAACATAATTAAAAATTAAATATCAGATCTGCACAAAAATTAGGCAAGAAATTGCAAAACTTTCTAAAAATAATCTTTCTAAAAATATGAGTCTTGTTTCCAAAGAAATAGAAAAATTAATTCCAAGTCAAAAATAGGAAATCACAAAATATTTATATTTTTAATCCAAAATCTCAATTTTTATGCAAAATCAAAAAATCAACCAATTAATCCAATAATACATAAAAAGTTCATTTAAGCTCAAAATTATTATTTAAATCCTAAATTATTGTGGGATAAAATTTATAAAAATCGGGTTTTATTGTCCAAAAAAAAAGGGTACATAGAAAAAGTGGACAGGAGAAGGAAGATCTGTAGTGTTCAAGCATGTCGACTCAGGACTAATGCTGCAACCCTCTTCAATGATTCAGCTGCCTTACGTAGATCTAACTCTGAGTGGTTTGCCGGGGAAAAGAAGTTTGATTCCTATTGGCAAACGACATTTGTCCAAAGTTGATCTTTTGGAAGCAACGACAAACGAAGCATCTTCCTCCAAAACCTACGGATGCATTGCCACTAGGTGCCTAGTTAATCATAAACTGTCACAATTATCAAATGAGATTCCAACACCCGCTCAGCTATATCTTCAAGCAGAAGTAGGCCATTTTTCATAGAACCTATTGACCTCTCCAATCTCAAACAAACAATCGGTGATTCTGAGTTGCTTGCTATCATCAAGCCTTGCATGTTTGATAATCTTGCATCACCTCATGCATCGTATAAAGAAAGAAGATCCTTGTTCTACTGGTAATAGTCAGGACTTCACATGCCTGGCAAAATCCAAAGCAAAAACGTGGCCATGCAATTATATAATTCATTGAGGAGCTGGTAGTGATATCAAAGCCCACCTTTCCATAGCAAAGCAATGTTAGCCTTCAGCTTTGTTATCAGATTGGGATTTTCCTTCAGGATGTCAATAGCTGAAATTGCCATGCTAGCCCGATAAGGGGGCAGAGAAGCAGAAAAGAAATAGCTAGAGCTACTCAATCAATCAGAGATTGAAAAGGAAATATCATTAGCAATAATAATAGGAAGATGGAAGAGGGAAAAAAATTGCTCGCATCATAAAATTGTGATATTTATACCAGATTCAAGAAATT